TTACCACAGACACACAGTGTACCTAAACTTGCAACAGCGCGACTGCGACCACAGGCAAGTTGTCGTGCTTTTTTTAATGAAAAATTTGAAAAAGTCAGAAAACAGCAAAAAATTTCGAATCCAAGAAACTAGCTCCTTGCAATCTAAATCAGAATTCAGCAAAAATATGGACTTCTATCTGCACATTTTTAACGATTTTTTACTGCTCAAGAAGAATTAAATTTTATTGACCATCCAATTTCCGGTTCAATCTACGGGAATTAACCGTTTGGCGTGATGAGTTCGAAAAAAGCAAAAATATAAAAAACACTTTCTGAAACAACAAAAAAAAAAACAATCCTCCTTATCCCTTTTGCCACAAAGTGCTACCTCGAACTACCCTCGTCTCTCATACAGCACGAAAATGGAAGCAGTTTTGACCTTGAACTTTACTAATTGAATTAAATGAAAAGAGAAAATGATGAAGTAGAAAAGATGAAGAAGGCAAGAAAAACGAAAAAAAAAGCGAAGAAAGGAAAAGGGGAGTATGGAAATACTTGTAATAGGTAAGAAATGTTTTGGTCCATTAAGTCGTATACATTTCTTACCGTTACCACAATAACATACAGCTCAAAATACGCAACTTCCGTATTGCTATCACGGTGATCCGGCTAGAGTTTTGTTGAAAAAAGAAGAGCAGTAGCGATTATTTGCTTTTCAGGATTATTTGCCAATGGTGAAGCATAATACCGCACTTCGGGAAGGTATTATCCTGCGAGGACTGCTAATTGCTGCTTATGTTTGCTACGAATTAATATCCAGAAATTTTATGTTACGCTCATTTATGCAGGTATTTTTTTAACACCCCATGCAAACTGACTTTCTGCACCCGCTAATCCTCATTTCATAATAGCTTACACAAATTTTTGCCCATAAAAAATCGTTATTTTATTTTTTTTCTTGATACTTTTTGATAACAAAAGTGATGGAACCGGCTCCCGAAGAAGTGACGCGCATGTATGAAAAAGCCCGTGGATAATAACTGGAGGTATGCAGCCCAGAACTGAAGAGCCTGACGCAACTTCTTCGCCCTGCATGTGGTGGCACCTTCACAACATTATTAACATAGGATATCCAACACTTACTTCCCGAATGGTCCAAGAATCCTTGGGTTTTCTCAAGTTTTTCAAAGTATTAAAACTTTTCCAAAGCTAAAATTTTAAAAAATCTAAATTTTTGCATTTTAACGCAGCCCAACTTCTCAGCTTTTGGTCACATTTCGCATCTCTGCGGTAAAATTCCCTGCCTTTTAGATCTTGCTCACAAAAAAGTTTTTCTGCCTCCACTACATAAATTGTAGGAGAGTTGTTTTCTTGGACAATGAGCCACTAAAGAATTGTTTAAAAAAAAATCCTCTTTTCAGGGTCCAAATGATTCTGCCAAAGTACTCATTGTAATGGGTGCATCGCTGCTCACTGTACAGTTTCTAGTACTGCCCTGGCTACAACGACGTTTCTATCCACGAACTGTTCTGATCATTGCACTGAGTGGCCTTGTTGGTGCCTATTCATCGGTGAATTTCACCACCAATCTCAATCAGCTACTGGTAATTGTTGCACTACAAACAGCCTGCTATGCTGTTGCGTATGCCGAAAGTTGCACACAAATAACAAGGTTTGTTCATGCCTCAAATAATGGCCAGCAACAAGATCGCCAGCACTATCAGTGTGTGAAGCTCTGAAAGGCTAATGGCACTAAGTTGGGTCAGCTCTTAATGCCAGCAACATTTAAGCTGTTCCGAACCAGGCCCACTAAATTTTTCAGCTCTCTAGCTATTCTGGTTGCAGAGTTACAAAGCCGTCAGCGTAAAATTTTCACGTGTCCGCATATGACGCAAGGGGGAGGAGGGGGGCGTGAAAATTGCTTCCATGTGCATTTTGGATAATAAAGCGCCCCCATATTTTCTATTTTTTTTTTGCATATTTAGAGATATTCACTTTATGACCGTCTGTAATCTATTGGTTCGAGTTGCCATCCGTGCAACTGACAATTTTTCCAGTTACTCTGACCAATGTTGCATTGTGCGGCTCTCACCTTGGCAATCTCAAGAGCAATAGTTCTTCCTACCTCAGCCGAGTTAACAGTTTGATGATGATTATATTACAGCGCTGTGGATATGGCCGATCTTGGAAAAGCAACAGGATTAGCCTCGGCTGCTCAATGGATTGTACATTTTATTGTTCCAATTTATACGTCTCATTTGGTGCAATCCTGGCACTATACCTATGCATTTTATACCAGTGCATTGCTTTCACTCGGAACACTCTGCTTCATCATTCTTGTCGCTAAACATTCGAATGCCCGTGTACGCACGCTACTGCCCTCCATTAGTTTAGCATAGTTCATTTTTCAAGAATTTTTTTTTTTGCAGAAAAAGTAAGGAAAAAGAAAGAAAAAAGGACGAAAATGAGGATAAATGGATTATCTGAGAGAAAACTGGAGAAGGACAGCTTCTAGAGATACGCGTGGAAAAGTGACTACAGCAAACTGAATAAAATATTAAGCACATGCTGGGCAGTAGTATGAATGAATGTAAAAAATTATAGCGAATTTGTGCCAGAACTTAGCCCGGAATCGTTATGATGGTATTTTTGCCAGAGGTCATTTCATGAAAAACATTCAATAATATTTCACTGTTTTCATCTAGAAGAGGGAAAAAAAATTCTGCCGAACTAAATATCACAAAAATTAAAAAATTCTTCAACGAAATTTCGCAAATTTTGTGCATACAATTTTGCAATTTTTCTCTCAAAGCTTTGAATTTTTGCAGTGCAACTGTTCAACTTTTATAATTTTATAATACAATTGCATTTTTCGGGATGTTACTGCACTTTTTTCCCACATAATTGTTGCTTGTTACCTGTATAAAAGCTCATATTCTGAAATCGCGTGCTACTGGCTGAACTTTTCGCTAAAAATTAAGACAAAACATACGGGGGTGTTAAAGTTAGAATGCTCTCTTACATCGGAAGTAGCCATCAGCAATTGCATCTTTTACAAGATAAGAGGCCACAGAAGAAGAAAAC